CAGGGACCTTGTAATCACTTAATGACCCCTTGTACTTATTGCGTGACAGTGTCACAAGGTGTCTGGGTCTTTGTGGTTCAGGTTTTGTTTACTTCTCTGTGACTGTGTTGCAAAGAAAAATCCTCTTCCAGAAGGCAGATTTCTTCTGCACTTTGCTGGCTGTTGTTTTGCAAAAGGCATAAATTAAAGTGCAAACTCTCCTGCGCATCTCATAGAGAAAGGGCTGGAGAATGGAGGGCAGGGCGTAGGTAGGGGAGGGGCTGGGAGGAGGGAGGAGGGGAGGATGGTGGGAGGAGAGGGAGCCCTCACAGGTGGGGGGCAGTGAGGAAAGACACAGCTGAGAAGTACACACACAGAGTCCTGTGCACCGATACAGAGCAGAGACAGACAGACAGACTTGGAGGGACCGACCTCCCTTCTTACGTATCCAAACACCCATCTTCTGCCTGTGGTGCTTTTGTGTGTGTATTGTTTGCTTCCTTTGAAGGTCTAGAATCATCTGACTTTGCCTTGGGGGTGTGTGTGTTGGGGGGAGTGTTGAGTGCTCTAAATGATGTGTGCCCACTGCAGAGCCAGAATCCAGAATCCAGGGCTTAGAACCCAGCTCTGCACACACCCCAGTCTCTGCGTGCCTCAGTTTCTGCATCTTAAGTGGGGAATAGTAGAACTGTTTCCTCCACAGGGTGCTGTGAGGACTCAACAATTCAACCTGTGCGCACCTGTCAGAAGGGGTGTTCCCCAAAGCCATTGGCTGTTAGTACCGCCGTGTGTGTGTGTGTGTGTGTGTGTGTGTGTGTGAAATGATCCTGCAGGGTGTGGGATCTATACTTCCTGAAGCAATGTTTGTGACACTAAGCACATTTTTCTGAATACTATGGCATCTTCGAGTTCCTGTCTGGGGCTGTTGGCCTTGAACTTCATTGCTCTTGCAAGGCCAGTCTGAGAGATTACAGCTGGGAGTGAGGAGTGGGACTTGGGGCTCTAATTCTGCCACACGTGGGCTATGAGGAGCCGACTTTTCTCTGGCTCTGCTGTCAGGCTGGAAACTTGGGGATTTAGGTCCTGAAACAGGTGGGACTGGGCTGTCTCTGGCATGTGAGTGTTGGATTTGGCTGTTATTTTGCCGCTATGCTGAGGTTTTGTGGACCTGAGATTCTTGATTGGTCTCCTGGAAGACAGATGTGCGTGCTGGCAATTACCTGACCCCTAAAGCAGAGCTGGGGCCCAGCGGAGGTGGGGAGGGGAGCACTGTTCTGTGTTTTCATCGATGTGACTGCAGATTCCTCTGAGTTGTGCATCTCTGCTTTGCGTACCTGACAGTATAGCTGGTACCTCTTGCATACAATGATACTTGAGGAATTTTATTTAAAAACTGAATCAAAAGATCAAATTTTTGTATCAATTTTGAAATTCATGCCTGTTTTTTTTTGCATAACATACATTTTCCATGAACTTTCTAAGGCCCTTCATAGAGGGAGACAGGCTGAGAACAGGGGTTGGGCTCTCCAGTGCTCTGCTTGTGATCATGGCTGTCGGCATCATTTTCGCATTTGTCTTTTCTGTACTCCTAGGGGAAGAGCAGTGTTTAAAAGGCGCCATCCTGGGGGCTGAGCTGCAGGGGCAGGCTCTGGGTGCACTGTGGAGCACACGATTACACGGTTAGTTCAGGCAGGGCCAGCATTTCCTCCTCTGGGTCCTGATGTTGTCATGAGACCCTTGGTATCTGCGCCCCAGACTTAGGGGAATGGCTACACAGGCCACACCCGCCCCTCCTGCCCTGTTGTCTTCCTCTCTGAATTCCCCTGTATCATTGCCATGCTCCTCTGGCTGTTACTGCACCCTGTGTGCCCTGTGCACCAGAATTACCTCCTGCCTCTCCCCAGGAGGCCTCCAAACTCTTACTTCTCTGAGTGCTGCTGTCTTAGCCACAACTTGATCAGTGCAGACATTGGAAGCATGCAGCTCTTTAGGGCACACTTGGATTTGAAAGAGAATTTTTTAAACTATCTGTTGGGATGTTGAGGAAGCTACCCTTGAGCTGAGAGCTTGGTGGGCTCTCCAAGTCACTGACTGCACTGGGCTCTCCCTTTCTGCCTTCATCTGTTTCTTCTTTGTGGAAAAGATTTATGTGTTTGTTTGAAAGAGTTACAGAGAGAGAGAGAGGGAAAGACAGAGAGAGACAGAAAGAGAGATAGAGAGAGAGATCATTCATCTGCTGGTTCACTCCCCAGGGCCATCCCAGGAGCCATGAGGTTCTTCTAGGTCTCCCAAGTGGAGCAGCCAGGACTTGAACCAGTGCCCACGTGGGAGGCTGGCGCAGGTGGTGGCCTTACCCTCTATGCCGCAATGCCAGCCCCTCCTACCCTGATCTTGTCTGATGTGAAGGAGTGGCGCGTAGGGAGGCAGGTGTGCATAGTAACCTGTAAAAAAAGTGTAGTGGTTAAAAACACATGGGGCAGGCACGTTGGTGCATTGGCTAAGCCCCTGCGAGGGACACCCGTGTCCCATATTGGAGCGCCTGTCCAGGTCCTGGCTGCTCTGCTTCCTGGTCAGCTTCCTGCTGGTGCAGCTGGGAAGGCTGTGGAGGATACACAAGTGCTTGGGCCTCTGCCATCCATGTGGGAGACCAGGATGGAATTCCTGGCTCCTGAACTTGACCCTGTCCAGACCTGGCTGTTGTGGGCAATTTATCTTTCTCTCTTGCTCCCTCTCCCTTTCTCTTTTTCTCCCTGCCTTTCCAAGTAAATAAATGGCTTTCTTGTAATTGATAAAGCTGGGTACAGATCCTGTTTCTACCCTCATGGTATAACCTTGAGTGAGCTGCACCACTGACTCTCTTTATTGATCTGTTAAATGGGTGTAATATTGATATTGGATATGATGGATGCGAGGATTGACTGTGTCCTTGTATTTCAGGATGTCCTCCCATCCACGGCACGTATGGAATAGCTGGTAAATAGTACCGCTGCTTGGGCACAGCTTCGTGGTGCGACCTGTTCAGTTGCACAGGACACCAAGCTCAGGAGTGCCCTGCGTCTGGGTTAATGCTTTGGTTTTACTGTCTTGAAAGTCTTAGTGACTTTTGCACACTGGCCTTGCAAATCACGTAGCTAGCCCCGCCACTGCTGGGCTGCACTTGACCTCTAATCACTCACCTGCCCCAGGTCTCCCACTGCCCTCTCCTCTCTGCTGCTTGCCGTTTTCTCCTATTCCCCTGACCTCAAGGCCTTGGTAAAAAGAAAGGCTCACTCCTTAGGAGGAAGAGTAGTGATTTGGTGTGCAGCGTATGGGGAATCAATATAGGGATCTTCTGTGGCCTGCACTTTCAGAAGTCACTTGTTAATGACTGTGGACCGTGTCCCCTCTGAAGTCAGGTAGTGGTGGTGACTCCAGCTAACTCGGATCCTCGAGTGGCTGTATCTGTGTTGGGTGGGAGGTTTGCACTGGGGTGCCACCTTCTCCCTCTCCTTCCCCATCCACTCGTTGTTACCCTTGCAGCCAGTGTCCCATTATGTTCCTTGTCATGTGTCTCCTAAGTTGCCCTGACTTGAGTTATCCCCGGTGGTGGTGACCTATGGTGGTGGTGACCTATGATTATTCAAAGAGGAGTTTTATGGAAAAGACACCGTCTCAGTTGGGATGAGAGACTGGAGAGAGGCACAGCTCAGGCCATGGGTGCACACTCGCTGATTCTCCCTCCACGCCTGGGCTCTGTGTTGAGTTCGGGTAAAGCTGTGTGACCTTGGTTAAGTCCTCTAACAGTAGGGGGCCTCAGCGTCCTTGACTTGTTGTTTTTAAGGTTTTGTCCAAGTCTAACATTCTGTGCATTATGTGCAAACTACTGGCTTCGAGTCAATAAGTTATTTGGAAAATGAGAAAAGGCAGTTTTCCCCATCCAGACTTGAGACGCGTGGGCGTCTCCTTTCTTTCCTGCGAAGGCTCTCGTGGCCTGACCGGACCTCCAAGTCGTAGTGGTGCTGTAGACGGTGAGCCTGTGGACCTGGGATTCCTGCCAAGGTCTAAGCCATGAGTACAAACCATTTCCAGCCCCCTGCAGGGCAAGGCTCACCTGTAGTCCTGTGAGACCCTATGGGCTAAACATCCACATGTCCTTGGCTGAGTATCACAAAGGACACTTCAGGGGTTGGCCCTGGGTGGGGCCCAGCTCGGGAAGCCGGTATCAGAGTACCAGATCAAGTCCCGACTCCTCCCCTCGCAACCCAGCTTCTCGCTGATGCATCCTGGGAGGCAGCAGATGGTGATCAAGTGCTTGAGCCCCTGCATGGGAGCCTTGGATGGAGTTCTGGGCTCCTGGCTTCTATCTGGCGCGGCCTTGGCTGTTGCAGGCATTTGGGAGTCAATCAGAGGATGGAAGACCTCTTCTGTCACTCTCTCTGGCACTCAGCCTTTCGAGTAGATGAAAATGAATAGATAAACATAAAAAAAATTAGAAGCTTCATGGATGTTCAATGACAGGTGCAGCTCAGAAGCAGAGTTGGGATGATTGCTTAGAAGCTCGGCGTGATTTTGCTGTGTGTGCGTCATGTAGATGTTATCAGTCAGAACACAGAGACGGAGAAGCAGGAGGGCAAGTGTGGGTGGTGCTGGTAATTTCGGAAGTAGGAATGAGCACTTGGCTTCTCCACTCCGTTGCTGTTGAGAGAATGGAGTTTGTGCCTATGGAAAAGAGATGTGTGTTTTTCTATCTCGTGGACCCGTCTTGCTGCCGACTGACCTCTCACCTTGGGATTTCATGGGTGAATTGTTCGATGTTGTGTTTACACTGGGAATCTTAGAGCAAAATGAATTTTCTGGGGCCTAGTAGGTGTCCCAAGTGATTTGTTCTTTGTGCCTCATGATCCTGAGATGTGACATTTGCCATGGTAATGGAGCGGCAAGCTCTGTGACTTCGGTGTTATTGAAGTCCTGGGGGTGACACTGAATCCCAGCCGGACCCCCTTTCTGCTGCCTCTGCTTACGCTGCTGCCTCTGTTTTCCAGGTGCTCACGTCATGCCGTGCCTTCCTGTTGACCGCGCGCATCCCCACCAAGGTAAGCCGTGATGGGCGCCGCCTTCCTGTGCACGCCCACTGCCTGCTCACACGCTGCATACATGCACACGTGCGCACACACACATGCACACACACACACTCTGTATACTCCCATGCTTGCACACACATTCCAGTGCAACCTGCACCCACTGCTCTCTTGTACAGACTGCTGGTGGAGGCCAGCATGGGCGTGTTCTCAGACACCTGTGTTTCCCTCCTTATTCCATGAAAGCTCCCGCACGCTCTGCTCACGGACAGTTTTACAGTGTTTCCTTCGATGGGGAGAAGGCCTCCCCAGGCACCTGTGCGGTGATCTGTGGTCTGTGTCCCCGAGGCCCAGTGTCCTTCCTGGTTCTCCTCGGCTTTGTGTTTTCTTCAGGCTTGCCTCCTATTTCCTGTAGACCAGTAATGGCGGATTTTCTTTATTTGCTTTTTTAAAAAGACTCACTTATATATTTGAAACGCAGAGTCACAGAGAGAGAGGAAGAGACAGAGGTCTTCCATCCGCTGGTTCACTCTCCAAATGACTATAAAAACTGAAGCTAGGCTAGACTGCAGCCAGGAGCTTGGAACTCCCTTCGGGTCTCCCACATGGACCTGGGCCGTCTTCTGCAATTTTCCAGGGAGCAGGATCGGAAGCGGAGCAGCTGGGATACAAACTGGTGCCCACGTAGGATGCTGTGGTTGTTCATGGCGGCTTCACCCACTGCACCATGTTGCCAGAACCCAAAGTTTTGATCCACTTTGACGTGTGGAAAATGAGCTTCCTAACCCTCAAGCGTGGTTTACCCATGTGGTAGCTGCCTCTGCCATTCTGTTGCCTTTACAGATACCATGGCACCACTCTTTTAAAAGACCAATGTAGGGGCCATTGCTGTGGTGTAGAGGGTAAAAGCTGCCGCCTGCAGTGCTGGCATCCCATATGGACACCAGTTCAAGTCCCAGCTGCTCTATTTCCAATCCAGCTCTCTGCTATTCCTGGGAAAGCTATAGAAGATGGCCCAAGTGCTTGGGCCCCTGCACCTGCATGGGAGACCTGGAAGAAGCTCCTGGCTCCTGACTTCGGATCAGCCCAACTCCGGCCATTGTGGCCATCTGGGGAGTGAACCAGCAGATGGAAGACCTCTCTCTTTCTCTCTCTCTCTGCCTGTGCCTTTCTAACTCTGCCTTTCCAATAAATAAATAATTTTTTTTAAAAAAAAGACCAATGTAGCATTTTTCATGAGATGTCCTTCATTCCATGGTGCCAATTATAATCTGAATGGTTAGCTCGTGAATTAGGCATAATATAGTTTAATGGTAACAGAAAGTGGCTGATCATTTTTATAGGATATGGACTGAATGTTAACAGAAAATTGGATTTTTTCCCCCCAAAAAGATGAAGATAGCTAACATTTACTGAGTATTGTTTTGTAAATAGTTTAATTCTGAAAAGAATCTTAGAACCTAAGTGAGGTCCTGTTGTTATCCTCACTTTACATACGAGGAAACCAAGACCCAGGCAGGTTCAGTACCTTGGCCAAGGTCAGGCTACTTGGAGGTGTCAGCTGTGCGGTTCTCACCCTAGCAATCTGGCCGCTGAGCCCCTGTGTAACTGCGCAGCTCTGACTGTCGTCAGGTGAGCTGTCGGCCAAGTGTACCTGAAGCTCAAGGTCAGCCCCGTGGGTGAGCTTCAGAAGGTAGCTCCGAGACGCCTGGGTGCCTTGTCCCAGGCCTCCTGAGGTCTGAGTCGGGGAGGGAGTGGGCTCAGCCTATCCTGCTCTTTCACCTTTGACCCAACTGTGCTGCCTTCCTGCCCACACCCTCCAGGGATGTGTGGTCTGGAGGCGGCTGCTTCTGATGCCTGGGCTGTGCTGTGGCCATTTTCTTGCTGCTTAAAATTAATCATTCAGCCCCTGTTTAGTGAATGCCTTCCTCTGTGCCACATAGGGTGTAGGGTACTGATTGCTTTTTTCTTCTTGGTCATATACCTTTTATAACACTTCTCCAAGGAAGACACTATTGGTCCAGGCCCCTTTTGATAATAGAACGTGAGTCTATATGTTTATAATATGTCCTAAAGAAAATTATTATATCCATGAGGCTGGATTAAACTACTTGTGCATTAAAATACGCAAGGGCAGGATATAAGGCAGTGAATTAAGCGTTATCCCACTGGCAAAAGATTAATTTGCAGCAGGAGATTTTTTGGAGTTGAGAAAGTGGTCAGGCGCCCTGTTGAGTAGGATGCTCTTGACCAGTTGCTGACCCTGGACATCTGATGCAGGGAAAGTGCATCAGCTCTTGGGAAGTCCCCTGCCCCTCCGTGTGCTGGTCGTTCCTATACTACCTGCCCCTGGGGAGACCTGGCCTTATCCCGTGATCCCTGTGACGTTTCATAGGGTTGTTCAGATACTCATTCTGATTTCCAAAGTTGTCAGCATCACACATGAAGACAGGAAGATTTTCTTCCAAAGTTTCTGCCCTAGCAAAGGCTGGTTTTCATGTGCCAGTGTTAGTCCTAGCTGAGAGGTAAACCTGGTGTGAGATTAGTTTTCCAGACTAAGGGGCTCGGTGTTGTGGCATAGCAGGTTAAGCCAATGCCTGCAACACCAGCATCCCATTTGGGCATCAGTTTGAGTCCAGGCTGCTCCACTTCCCATCCACCTCCCTGCTCGTGGCCTGGGAAAAGCAGCAGAAGATGATCCAAGTGCTTGGATCCCTTCTGCTCCCTGGGGAGCCCCAGATGAAGCTCCTGGCTCCTGGCTTCTGCCTGGCCCAGCTCCTGCCGTTGCGGCCATCTGGAGAGTGAACCAGCAGATGGAGATCTCTCCCTCCCTACTCTCTCTGTCTCTCCCTCTCTCTCTGTAACTCTGACACTCTAATAAAAATAAATAAATCTTTAAAAAAAATTTCCAGGGAAATAATTATCATTCAGGACATTTGTGTAAAATTGGCACTGATTATGACACAGGTGGCTTTGGGGGCTGATTAAAATATTTTTCGTATGAAATTGTGTATGAAGTTAGAGATGCTTTCTTTCTTGTCTTGCTAAACGTGTGAGGTGCACTGGAAGGTATTGTCAAGCGTGCAAAACAAAGATGGACCTCGTGGTGATTAACTGCAAAGCAGGGTTCGCCTGTGGTCCGGGAAGCGGTCGCAGACAAGGGCACAGAAGGATCCAGACATCAGCCAGGCAGATGAAGGAGGTCTGTGGAGGGGCCGCAGTGCGGGGGGCTGGAGGAGCCTGGGCTGGCCCTGGGCTGGCCAAGGGGTTGAAGCAGGGGCGCCACCTATAGGACACAACAAGCACTGCTGAAAGACCCAGAATTCCTCACAGATTTGCTCTGCTGCTGGTGGGAGGGGCAGTGCCCCCTTAGGGGCTGGGGGTGAAGCCGGCCAGAGAGTGGTGGAAAGCTGGGTTAATCCTGTCCACTTATCTGATCAATCACTGGTATCGACTGTTGAAGAACATTTTTTATACTATATATATGTTAAACTCTTAGTAGAGAGTTAATCTTAAGTGTATTAAGTTAATTGAAAATAGATCTTAGTGAAAAATAAGACTGGGAATAGGAGAGGGAGGAGGAAGGAAGGGTGAGAACTCAGGTGGTAAGAATCACTGTGTTCCTGAAGGTGTATTTATGAAAAGCATGAAGTTTGTGTACCTTCAATAAAAGGTTTCTGGGGGAAAATAAATTAAAAAGTTCAAATTGAAAAAATAATTTATATCTGGAGTAAAATGAAAAGGTATCTGTGGATCTGACTTACACATGTCCCAGGTCTTCCTGAAACCTGTGCCAGCCTCGATCCCTGAGGAGTCTCCCTGCCTCGCAGGCCGCAGTTCTACTCCCAGAGACCACCTTTAAACTCTCTTTAGGATGGGGGCAGGAGGGTTGTGAGAGCTGGGAGCAAAGGCCTGGTAATAGCAGCTGTAGTTGAGCTCAGAGAGAAGGGTTTGAACCTTGCTGTGATGTTTTCAGTGTTAGACTCTCCTGCCCTCCACTGATAATACCCCGGTACCCTGACCAGCCACGGGCCGGCCAGCGGGTCCCTCACTGACTGCCGATACCAAAGATCTCCTCCTTTTAGTTCTGCCTCGTTCTGGTTCTTTTAATGCCTCTATGATGTTAGAGATTCATTTGCCTCTGCCCACATGCCCCGCCCCTGACCTTTGGTTTGCTTGACAGACTTGAAAGTGTTTCCCAGGGCCTGGCTGAAATGCCCCCACTCATTCCTGACTCCCCAGTGCCTTGCTTAGCCCAGTGACAGCCCTCAGGTACAGAGTATCTTAATTGACTTTTGAATAACCCCACTGGCCCGGGTTGATGACAGGTGCCCGTTCTATCTGAGGTGACACTGACTGATGCCAGCTGCATTTTCTTTTCTTTTTTTTTTTTTTTTTTTTTTTGACAGGCAGAGTGGACAGTGAGAGAGAGAGACAGAGAGAGAAAGGTCTTCCTTTGCCGTTGGTTCACCCTCCAATGGCCGCCGCTGCAGCCGGTGCACCGCGCTGATCCTGGCAGGAGCCAGGAGCCAGGTGCTTTTCCTGGTCTCCCATGGGGTGCAGGGCCCAAGCACCTGGGCCATCCTCCACTGCACTCCCTGGCCATAGCAGAGAGCTGGCCTGGAAGAGGGGCAACCGGGACAGAATCCGGCGCCCCAACCGGGACTAGAACCCGGTGTGCCGGCGCCGCAAGGTGGAGGATTAGCCTATTGAGCCACGGCGCCGGCTCGCCAGCTGCATTTTCATAGCTGTGAGACGGGAAGAGAATACACCTGCTCACACCTAGGAATGAGATGACCACTGAGGGTCAGTCGTTTGTTCCCAATCTTTTTTATAGCAATTCTAAAATAAGTTATTTTAATGGAAGACATTTACATAGCAGTGTAATAGGATTGCAAAATGAGAGAGAGTATGTGTGAAATATTGCATGTTGATAAAAGTGAACTACTTATAAAATTTGCTGTCTTAAGGACCAAACAAATGTTAATTTTCTGGGGTTGGGGAGTGGCAGTGCAGAAGGCAGTCCAGACAGCTTCCACCCTCAGGTTGCTTTGCAAGTCCCCACTTCCTGTTCCTGGGATTTGAAGTGAAGCTGGGAAGCCCTGCCTTGCAGGTGCAGCTCAGAAGGGCCTCTTTCAAAGGATGCTAACTGGAAATACGTTAACACGCATTAAAGTGGCAGAGGGAGGCATGCATACCTCTTAGAAAGTAATTTCCTGTTTGAATGACTTTTCAAAACCAAAGCCTTTATAAATCCTGATAATGATAGGTAAGAAAATTTCTACTGTAATTGAGTGTTTTGAAATCCGTTTTGTTCCTTCAAAGTTGCCTTTAACTCTTGGAGGACAAAATGCACATCTCATTCCACGTCTGTTTCTAGTGCACCAGCAGCTTTCTCTGAGTGCCTGTCTGTTGACTAAATGAGTAATGCCAGAATGAGTTCTCTTCCTGCCTCCCCTCTCTGCCATTGTGCTTTGGTTTTTATTGGGATATTTATGCCACCAGTGAGGCATGGTACAGGCAGCCTGACATCCCTCTGGGTTTGGTTCTAGGCATGTTTTTTCACATTGCAGTTGCCCCCTGTGTTGGCAGAATCAGCATCTGTAGATTGAATGAAAGGTAGAATATTCAGAAAAATTTGCATCTGTATAGGCCTTTTCCCTTGTCATTCCCTGAACCACACAGTGTAACTATTTATGAAGTGTTTACACTGTGTTTGCTCTTCTAAAGAGTCTAGATATAATTTAAAGTATATGGGAGCCTGTGCCTAGGGTATATGCAAATACTGTAGCATTTTATATGAGGGACTACACTGGCTGATGTCCACAGGGGCTCTAGAACCAGTCCCCAATACCAACTGTGTATTTCTGGGTTCAGTGTGAGAGAGTAAAAGAAGCGGATCCACTCCAGTCTACTGTGTTGTGTAGTAACATTCTCTGTGTCTGTTCACTGGATAAGATGGACGACTACAAAACTGGGAGAAAAGTTGGTGACTACTGACAGGAATAGTAGGGAAGACCAGCTGATTATAGGAGACATGAGGGGAAGGGTGCTTGTTCTTAAAATAGGAAATAAATCACTTTTCTCCGTGTATAGAAAGGACTTTTATGTAGCTATATGTGTTTCATGTAGGCACACTTTAAAATTTCTGAATACTGTTTGTCTGAATCTATTCAAGATATAGGTTTTTATGAAAAATGCTGGAAAGAGGAGGATTCCATGAACTGTGTTACATAGGGGCAAGAATTCAGGAAGAAGGGAAAAGTTCATGAACTTTACTGGGTATGACTTTCAGAAGCAAAATTTGGAAGTGAAAAGGCAAAAAAGATGAATATATTTAGATGATTCTTTTCTCACATTCATTTCTCAAAGAGTAAGTAGTAGATATGCACACATGTCCCTTTGTGAGACTTGAAAAAATCTGGCTTGCAACTTTTTTCCAACCTTCAGGACTAAAATGAATAATACTTTTTCTGCAGCATGGTAAATCAGGATTTTATCTTGTCAAATGGAGATATTAAAGCAACCTTCCTAAGATGCCCAATAACTTATTTGCTCTTGGGCTGGCTGTAATTATAACATTTTTACCTTGAATTACATGTTTAAAACCTGTCATTACAAGTCTGTATTTCTCCCTCTCCTCTCAATTACAGCTCGAGTTAACCTTCAGCTACTTGGAGATTCAAGGTGTTATTTGCAACAAGCCTGCTCAGGTGAGTAAGTGACAGACACCTGTTCCTGTCAGGGCCGGTGTGATTTTTCCCGAGTTTCTGGAACTGTGGAATGTCTTCTGTTTGCTTTCATACTGACTGTTTCTTAGAGTCAGAAAACAAGACGAGGGAAAAGAGGGATTTCAGAATGCGATGCTTTATGGTGGCTTTGTGGGCATCAACCTCTGGAAGTTGTTCCCATAAGAAATCATTCTCCGTTCTGCAGCCTGAAAGAACTAGTTATCTCTTCTGGCAGCCGCTCCTGAGGGGCTCTGTGATATAGTTGAGCACTAAAATTTTATACTCTGCTACAGTGCTCTACAAGTTCTTTCTCAGAACACAATGACAAATTAAATTTTTAGTGTTAATAAAGTGTAGATTTTAAAACCCAGGTTCGTTGAGCTCTAGGTACCTGCAGTACAGGAAAGTGGACAGTTTGACTTCTTGACTTCTGCAGACCCGGGACCCTGTTACCACAGTCAAGACACTGAACACGTTCGTTACCCAGGAACCACTCTCCCGCCCCTGCTCTGCTCTGCCTGTAGACATTGTGGATGGGGTCCCAGGCCGCACCCCCTCCTGCCTGCCTCCTGTCCGTCAGCGTGGCTGCTGGGGCATTCATATGAGTTGTTGCCTGTCTCGGCAGCTCTTTCCTTCCCACTGCTGAGTAGGGCTCCACTGCTTGGCTGTATTAGTTTGTGCGTTTACCTGGTGATGGACGTTGGGTTGTTTCCAGTTTTGGCTGTCACAGATAAAGCTGCCATGAATGTATATGTACAAATTTTTTTTTTTTGCTTTCAAACTTTTATTTAATGAATATAAATTTCCAAAGTACAGCTTATGGATTACAATGGCTTCCCCCCCATAACGTCCCTCCCACCCGCAACCCTCCCCTTTCCCACTCCCTCTCCCCTTCCATTCACATCAAGATTCATTTTCGTTTCTCTTTATATACAGAAGATCAGTTTAGCATACACCAAGTAAAGGTTTCAACAGTTTGCTCCCACACAGAAACATAAAGTGAAAAATACTGTTTGAGTACTAGTTATAGCATTAAATCTCAATGATATGTACAAATTTTTAAAGTGTTTTCATTTCCCGTGGGTAAATAGGAGTGGAAAGGCTGAGTCTGATGGTAGGTATAAGTGTAACTCGGAGAAATGACCAAACTGTTTTCCTAAGTGGTTGTACCATTTTCTGTTGCCACCAACAGCCTACGATGTTCTAGTTCCCTCATGTCCTTGACAACACTGGTATGGTCAGTCTTTTTAATTTCAGCCACTGTAATAAATATGTAGTACCTTTTCATTACAATTTCAAATTGCATTTCCTTAATGATAAAGTATGTTCAGCATCTTTTTGTCTGTTTATTTGCCATGGGATATCTTTTTTGGATGAAGTGGCAGTTCAGATTCTTTGCCATTACAGAAACTGAGTTATTTGTTTTCTTACTGAGTTTTGAGAGGTTTTTTTTTTTTTTTTTTTTTTTTTTTAAATTTTGATAGGCAGAGTGGACAGTGAGAGAGAGAGACAGAGAGAGAAAGGTCTTCCCTTGCCGTTGGTTCACCCTCCAATGGCCGCCGCTGCAGCCGGCGCACCGCGCTGATCCGATGGCAGGAGCCAGGATCCAGGTGCTTTTTCCTGGTCTCCCATGGGGTGCAGGGCCCAAGCACCTGGGCCATCCTCCACTGCACCCCCTGGCCATAGCAGAGAGCTGGCCTGGAAGAGGGGCAACCAGGACAGAATCCGGCGCCCCGACCGGGACTAGAACCCGGTGTGCCGGCGCCGCATGGTGGAGGATTAGCCTATTGAGCCACGGCGCCGGCTGAGAGTTTTTTTTTTTAACATTTATTTTATTTATTTGAAAGATAGAGTTACAAAGAGAGGTAGAGAGAGAGGTCTTCCATCCGCTGGTTCACTCCCCAAATGGCTGCAATGGCCAGAGCTGAGCCAATCCGAAGCCAGGAGCCAGGAGCTTCCTCCAGGTCTCTCATGTGAGAGCAGGGGCCCAAGGACTTGGGCCATCCTTCACTGATTTCCCAGGCCACAGCAGAGAGCTGGATTGGAAGTGGAGCAGCCTAGACTTGAACTGGTGCCCATATGGGATGCTAGTACTGTAGGCCAGGGCTTTAACCCACTGCGCCACAGCACTGGCCCCAGGAGTTTTTTAAAAAACTGTATTCTGGATACAAATTCTGTATCAGATATGTGATTCATACATACTTTCTCGGTCTCTGGCTGCCTTTTCATTCTCTTGGAATGAAGGAGCAAAAGTTTTAAATTTTGGTCAACTCTCTCTGATTTATCAGCATTTTCTTGTATGCATCATGCTTTGGTGTCACCTTGAATAAATCTTGGCTTAACCCCAGGTCGCAGAGTGCTGTGTGTTTAGGTTTAGACCTTTAGGTTGTACGTACAGGTCTGTGATTGATTTTGAAGCAATTTTTGTATATAGCGCAGTGTATGGTTGAAGGCTCTTTCATATGTGTAGACATCCATGCACATATTTCAGTACCATTTGTTTGAAAGGCTGCCGTGTCCTCACCGACAGGTTTCCACGTGTGTGGAAAGTCCCAGCGTGGGTCCGTGTCTGCTCTCTGATTCTCAGCCCTGGTATCCATTCGGTTATCTTCATGCCTCTGCCACTCTGTCCTCAGTCCCGCGGCCTCACATGGAGATTGAAATCAGACAACGTCCATCCTCCAGCTGTGTTCCTCTTCAAACCGTTGTGTGATTCTAGGTCCTTAGCAATTCCAAATGAATTTTAGAATCACCCCAGTGTTTTTTGACTGAGCTTGCATTGAATCTGTACATCGGTTTGGAGAGAATTGACGTCTTAATGGTACAGAATCTTCTGAGCGAAAGAAACCCTATGACTCTGTTTAGTTCTTCTCTAATGTTGCTCAGCAGTATTGTGCTATAGCTGTCAGAGTTCAAGTTGATGCATCTTTGAGCGGATTTATTCCGAAGTATTTAATATCTTCTGATGCAATTATGAATGGTATTTAAACATTTTCAATTTCTGATTGTTTCTTGCTGCTCTTAGGAACACGATTGACTTTTACCTCTATTGATGTTGTATTCTGTTTATTTCTTTCTTTTTAAATTTAATTTAAATTTTTAAAATTTATTTGAAAGGCAGAGTTAGAGACCTTCCATCCCTTGCTTCTCTCCCCAAATTGCCACAACAGCTGTGTCTGGGTCAGGTTATAGAAAGTAGCCAAGATGCCTGCGCCCTGGCTCAATAGGCTAATCCTCCGCCTTGCGGCGCCGGCACACTGGGTTCTAGTCCCGGTTGCCCCTCTTCAAGGCCAGCTCTCTGCTGTGGCCAGGGAGTGCAGTGGAGGATGGCCCAAGTCCTGGGGCCCTGCACCCCATGGGAGACCAGGAGAAGCACCTGGCTCCTGCCATTGGGTCAGCGCGGTGTGCCGGCCGCGGTGGCCATTGGAGGGTGAACCAACGGCAAAGGAAGACCTTTCTCTCTGTCTCTCTCTCTCTCTCACTGTCCACTCTGCCTGTCAAAAAAAAAAAAAAAAAAATAGTAGCCAAGATCTCCATCTGGGTCTCCTGTGTGAGTGGCAGGGGCCCAACCGCCTGGGGCAGCCTCCACTGCCTTTGGGGAAGCTTTTTAACTACAAGTTCTGTTCCTTTGATAACTAGAGGTCCATTTGTAAATTTCTTCTCAAATGAGCTTTGTTGTTTGTATATTCTGAGAAATTTTCCCTGTTTATTTACATTGTCCCAATTTATTGTCATAAGGTTTTTACCCGCCCCTCCCCCAAATATCAGTCTGGTTAGAGGTTTATCAAGGAATTCACTTTTTGGTTTGACTGATTTTTCTACATTGATTTCATTGCTTTTCTATTTCATTGAATTTTGCTTTGATCTTTATTAGGTTCTTTCTCCTACTTTTCCTTTTAGCTTTTATGACTATAAAGAAAGTGTGTGTTTGTGTATGTAGTTGTGTTGATAATGTTCCTAAAAGAATGGCCAAAATTGTTGCTTTATGTTGACTGAGATTACATACAAATCCTTGGAAGTTTTCCATGGTTTGTCTTAAAGTAGTGTTTTATCCTATGTGTTTATCATTTCTATGGTTTTCTGGAAGTAGAATGTGAAGGAAAAATCACAGCACCATATGTTTGCCCAAATAGTCAAACATATGTGGGAGACAGCAGTCTCTCCTGGATGATGGTGTAGTGGCGTAAGCAGAGCCTTCTTGTTGGTACTAATTTAGGAATGTTTATGTGTATGGCTTAGGGGTTAGGATGGAGACAGGAAGGCGTTAATAATATATGAGCTCCAAGGTTATGTTCCAGATACGACTTGACTGTAGAGTTTGATTATGAGAGAAGATGGTCATGCAGCAAGAGTGATGCACAAATTGGTCCCCGCACACTCTGTGTCTCTTCAGCATCGTGCCTTCCTGAGGAGCTGTTAGCTAGCAGTCCATCTCAGCCCCACAGCACCGTTCTGTCATTGTAGGGACCAAAGGAAGGGCTTTGCTGCTGCCGTGGTGCGGACCTGGAGGCTGAAATGATAGTGAAACAGTGATGCTGCTCCTACAAAGGGACTCACTGGGCAGACACTGGAATGCCAGTGACCTTGTGGTGTTTATTTCACAATGGCCTGTGGTGCAGATGCCTTCAGCAATGCCCCTCCCTCTTCCAACATTACACACAGCCTCTCTGCAGGGCAGTTAGGATTCTGTCTGTCTGGGGTGAGCTTTTTGTGTTTTTATCAAATGCACTGTTTGATTCTGTTGTGTTCCAAAGGCTGGGAGCCAAGTAACCTGTGTAGCCTCAGTTCCTGGAAGTCTCCAGTTTTGGTTTTCTCTTAGGTGAAATCCCAAGGATGACTGCGTCTGCCTGTAGCATTCCCAGTCCAACCTCGATTAGGGATTCCTTCCTGCTGTTCTCAGGGATTGGTTACCTTCCTGGCATGGCTGTTTTTGCCTTTACTTAACTGTAGGTTGTAGATGCAGGCACAGTGCCTGGGACGGAGGCATCACATGGTGTGTGGGTGAGAGCAAGTGCAATGCTGTTTTCCTTTTCCTGTGGAGCTGTGGAGACCTTTATCTCGCTTGACAAGGCTCAGTGTCGGGACAGTCTCTCCTGCCCGTGTTCTGGGGCTTTCAGGGTCAGAAAATTGAAGTTGACAGTTATTTATTTTAAGAATCTATGGCGTGTATATGTGATTATAATTTTAGATATGGACAGGAGATGATGGGTTAAATCCTGCTAGGTATGTAAAGGAAAAGATGTTTAAACATTTTGCCTCTCTGCAGCTAAAATAGAGGGAAGAGGTATATGGCAGGAGCTCTCTGATGAGATGATTTATTGTGTGGTCTCCAGCTCAATCATTTTGTTGCAAGTTTTTGCATTATGCAAAGCCAGTGGCGTCTTACGCAGGCTGTGAGTGCTTTCAAGTAAGGTCGCACTTGAAGACCTCATGTCTTCTCCCACCTGTCACCTTTTTTCTTCCCTGTCACTCTATTCAGTACTGTGCAATTAAGGATGATTAGGTGCCAAGATCAAGTGGAATTAGAATTAGCTAATTACTAATTACTCACACCCAAACTGTGAGCTGCACTGATGCTCTAGAGGTGGAGAGTGTGCAAGTACCCTGTAGTGAACGGCGTAATTACCCGTGGTGGAAGGTCTGGGAATGAGGTGCCAAGCACAGACACAATGGCACATCCCGAATTCTCTGGCTTCGCAAACCATGCGTAGGCGCAGATCTGTGCATGGGAAACCTGAGCTGATCTGCCCAAACCAGGCTTCGTCTGGCTTCAGACTTCTCCGGACACCCTGGCCTTGGTCGGAACTCACACTCCTAGGTACAAACCCCAAACGCTTGCAGCCTTTTCTTGGGCCTGGGGACAGAGAGAAGGACATTATCTTTTGGACCAGCTTCTTGCAGACAAATGCGGCCATTGTCTAGAGGATTTTAAAGGCTTTTCCATTAATTTCTTGAGGAATAGGCTGAAAATTTGGATTACATATTTTTTACACACAAATAACTGACATAGAAGTGATACTTCTTAAACACTCGTGAACAGATTCCTGTAGAGGTATTTATAAAAAGGAACATTTTAAGGACTCCATCACTTAGGATAGCCTTTTCTTTGATCTTTTCATTTTGATAAATACCTTTGCGTTACTCTTCCTGGTAATGTAAATGTGATGATTTTTCAATGTAGATAATTTTAGGAAAATCTGAAGCAGAGTCTAAGAACTCCTTCGTCCAGTTGGTGGGTTACATGTGGAGTACATGGTCACCACTGTACTTTTGTACAGACAGAAGTCACTGTGTGAGGCTGCTTTGCTGTGGTGATGATCACAAGGGATTGCATTTCACACGAGTGGTCCTGAGACACACTGTAGTGGAGTCTGTTTTCCTTTTTAAAGGAAGTGATTCACGTCCATTCTCTTTCTTTGAGGTGTAGCCCTCTTCAACTTGTGCCTTTGATAAGCTGCTCTGATTTATCCTTATTTGTGGACTGGTTGGTTGACCTCCATCTCAGCTTTTTTTTGGTTTGTTTGTTTGAGTTTTGGGTGTCTCCAGCTAGTAATCATAAAAAATGTGTCTTTACCACACACTAAACCTAAACATTTTTACCTTAATATAATCCCTTCTACGTGTTCCTTCTTCTTCCAAAGCTTGAAAGTTTTATAAGCATTTAAGTTTTCTTTTTTCTTCCAGATTTTCTTGTCTTTAAAATGTGTGGTTTAGGGTCCAGCATTGTGGAGTAGAGCTACCGCCTGCAGCGCTGGCATCCCACATGGGCGCCGGTTCGAATCCCAGCTGCTCAGCTTCAGATCTAGCTCCCTGTTAATGTGCCTGGGAGGGCAGCAGAGGATGGCTGTGGTGCTTGGGCCCCTGCTCCCACGTGTGAGCCCTGGAAGAAGTTCCTGGCTTTGGCTTGGCCCAGCCCTGGCTGTTGTGGCCATTTGGGGAGTGAACCAGAGGATGGAAGATCTCCCTTTCCCCTTCCCTCTCTCTGTATCTCTGCCTTTCAAAATAAATAAATCTTTTTTAAAAAGCTCATCTGTGTTTTTTCTTCAAGGACAGGTGGGTACTCACAGGAGATATTTGCACTTATCCTGGGTCATAGGTGTGACCAGCTGTGTATGTCCAGATGTGGGGAGTTAAGTCACATGAGGGTCTGCGTATATCTGCCCTTTTGCCCCCTGGTTCCTGGGTGTTTCGGATAACCCCTTTCTTCCCCTACTCAAGCAATTCTTAAACCAAGAGTATTATTTTAAGGAAGAGCGTCTTAAGAAGCTAGTGTTGCGTTAGCATGTATCTGTGTGCCCACTTCATTTCCAGTATTTAAAATGGAAAGCGGGAAGGCACTGGACGCCTTTTAACAAGTGTGTCCTCGGCTGTTGCAGATGGTCATGGAGACGGAGAAGTGCACCATCTCCCTGAAGATGGCGTCGCCGGAGGACGTGAGCGAGGTGCTGGCGCACGTGGGCACCTGCCTACGGAGGATATTCCCCGGCCTCTCTCCAGTGTGAGTCCCCGGGGAGAGGGGGAGAGGGGAAGGGGAGAGCCCAAACCTGTCTTCTTCAAAGTGCCTGCCTCCCTGCTCTTTCGCTGGGTTCCTCTCTCAGTCCTCCCTCTCTTCGGCATGAACTATGAAAGCCCCCTCTCGACCCCTTGTGTTTGCTGTCTGAGGTTTTCTGTGGGACTGCTCTTGAAAGAGCTTGGGTGATGCCAGGACTGGGAAACCCTTTAACTTCTACTCCCAAGACCGAGACAGACACCCTTGGGATTGAACTTCAGATTTAGCGTGAGCTTCCTCCCAGCCGTTAGCAGAATCCCAGAGGCTGGCACCTTGCGTCGTGGCCCCAGGTAGAAGCCACTGCGCTTCTGTTGCTTGTTTTTTTTCTCTTCCTCTTTTCAGTCAGAAGAAAACAAAACCAAACATAAAGATTAGCTGCTTTTGTTTCCCTCTTAACCTTTTTGAAATGCTGTGGGAAAAATTAATAAATTCTGTGCGTTACGTACGTGTCCTCATGGATTTGGCAAGTGTTTTAAAAATCAGGGGTATGTGCTTGGGTCCCCGAGCCCGCGGCGGGGGAGTGTGTCGGGTGTGGGGTGGGGGGATTTCCTTGGCTGGCCGGAGAAGGCCAAGCTGCTCCTGAGAGAAAGCTCTCCTGCTGGGAAGACAGGACACGCAGAGAGCAGGCAGTCTCACCTGGGCACCTGGCGTGCTCTCCTGTGGAGGGTTGAGAGCTGTACACCTTGCTGGGTTTTGTAGGAGGGGAATTTGGGGGGCTGTTGGTCTTCATGGAACCTGTCCTGACAACACCCCTCCCCCCATTGGAGGCCAAAGCCTTTGTGTGTTTTAGACCCTTTGGGGGACAGAAAGTGGCTCAGTCTCTCTGGCCTGAGGAGACCTGCTGGCTTCTCCCTGCTGGCTCTGTCTTCTGTTCACCGAGGCAGGTCGACCAGGCGGGAGGGGCTGGTTTCCTCCTTCCTGAAGCTTCATTCGGAGTCTCTGGGTGCCTCGTGGCTGGGGGAGCTGAGTACAGCTGGCCTCTCGTCAGCAGGGGTGAAGGCTGAGCTGAGCTGCCCCTGACTCCTGCCTGGAGAGAGTTTCTGGTAGGAGATGTCTTCAAGGCAAGCCCTCGCTGGGCTCTGGTTGCACAGGCATGCTCGCACATGCGTGCACCTGCAGAGTGTGGCCCGCAGGGGTCAGGTGAGGTGAGGAGTGAACCATAGTGGTACTGGGGAAGCACTCAGAAGCAGGACTTTGTTGGGAATAGCTTCCGGGTCATCTTTTCAGACAACAGAAACTGTTGGGGGTAGTCGGAGTTGGTAGTAACCACAACCCATTTTTCTGAAACTATCAGTGATGGGGCTCCTTATACTGGGGCATTCCAGTTTAACACTGATGGGATAGAAAAATTACTAAGTGCAGGCTTATTGGGTATAGGCTTAAAGTACCCTAAACTTTAAAGACACTGCAAACAATGTTGAAGATTTCCACTTTCCCTAAGATGCAGCTTTCTTTCATATTCTGAGCGTTTGGGGCTGGATGAATTACCAGTTTTGTTTTTGTTTTGTTTCTTCCCAGAGAACGCTGAGTAAGAATAATTTCCAGTAACTTTTTGTTACGTTTTCAGGCAACTGCTCTTAACCAGCAAATCTGAAATGATCATGTCTGTTTCTAGGTCAGTCACAGGGCTAATGTGGTCTCTAAATTCACGCCCCCCCCCCCCCCCCCTGCATCTCCGTTTCTGCCAGCTCCCTGGTGACACCTAAACTGTGTGGCCTGGTGTGAAGACCACTGCTCTCCTGCCCCATCATCCAACTTATTCTGGAGCACAAACAGTGTCTTTCGTACTTTCAGAACCTTTGAATGCGTTCCCGATGCTGAAAAGCTCCTACTGTAATAGATAGAGCCCAAGGAACCTCGCATCCGTCAAGTTCTGTATTTGCACGTCCCCTGAGCGTGGTGACCACTTCCTGTGCTAGCACACGTCACACTGCGTGATAACACCTGTGCATTTGTTGGTTCAGTGAGTGAGTGTTGAGATTCTGTTGTATGCCAGTCATGGTGCCACCAGCTGGGGCCCAGCTGTGAACACGGCCCCCTGGCCCCATGCAACTTCCATTTTAACTCAGGGAAACAAAGCTCCCACAGAGTGAAATGCAAAAATGAAGCAGCTCAATTAACTGGATTGAGGGAAACAGACAGGACTGGTACAATGGGCAAACTTCTGTCTTGAGAGGCCTCCCTGGGGCCATGGTGACTTGAATAGACTTAGGGAAGGAGCCCCTCCTATAAAGGGGGGGGCACCATGTCCTCCCCAGGACATTTGCTCATGCTTTTTCTTCTGTCTAGAAAGTGGCAGGTGTCTTTGAGGAACTGAAGGATAACATATCCAGTTTGTCTGGAGTACAATGAAGAACAAAGGTGGGAAGAGACTAGGAATGCTACAAGGGGAGGCTGGAATGAGGCACAGGCCAGGTGGTTTAGAACCTGCTGATTAAGAATTTGGAATTTTCAGTATTTCACAGAGAAGCCACTGTGATGTGTTGAGCAGCGAGCTGGAGAAGTGAGATGGAGAAGGCTCAGAATCAGTAGGTGGACAGGTTTGGGGGAAATAAGTCCCTAGTGGATCTGTTTCGGGCATGTGAAATTTGACACCTAGCACATCTAGGTGTGGATTTCAGGTGGGCGATGACATTCGTGAGCCTGGGGCGTGGAGGACAGGTCCAGACTTGGCGCTGGAAGAAAGGTGAGTCCGTAGCAGAGAGGTGGTCCATAATGCGTGGCTGTTGACGAGGCCACCGGGAGGGAGGGGACCCAGAGGAGGGGGTGTCTTGAGAATAAGGCCAACATTTAGAGATCAAACAAGAAAGAGCCGCAGGTGGTGGTGGATAAGGACAGGGAGAAAACCCTTGGCAACCGGGGAGGCTGTGTCCTTGGGGCTGAAGATGCTGCAGGCAGAGAAGTGTCCCATGCTCGGCGCTGTGAGGGGGGGACTGGAGCCGCTCGGGGTGGGGTCTGGTTGGGAGTGGCGGATGGCCGCGTGCTGGGGGGAGCTCAGAATTGTGAACGTGGTATGGTCTGCCTACACAGCTTTCTAGACCAGTTTACCTAGAAGGGGAGCTGGTGAATGGAGTACATGGCTGTGTTAGGAGGCATCGGCAGTGGGAGAGGTTCTGGCTGGCAGCTGGGCGTCCGTTTCTCAGCAGTATCTTGAGGAGGCCAGAGTCCAGAACGTCCTGTCTGCTCGCGGGGCTGCCTGCTGCTTGAGCAGAGGTCGTGTTTTTATTAACCTTCAACCCCTCGTCCTTGGCACATGGTACGCACTTCATGAGGTTTGGGGTGAGCACACACATGGCCTGCTTACATCGTGGCCACTACGGAGAGAGGAGGCCACAGGAATGAGAAGGCAGGTGCTCCTTCCCCCAGAGCGGGGGCTGGGACAGCAGGTGCGTGGGTATCAATGGGAAGCGAGCGAGTGAGTGCCGGGGTCTACCCAAACAGGATGGAGTGGATTCCGAGGAGGGGGCAGGGAGAGATGTGGCTGTGCCCGTCAAGAGACCAGTGGGAGAAGCTGTGATTATAATTTAGTAAAGGACTTGGCACTGAACTCCATACCCTAAACGTGCTTGACTTGTGCTTTTCCATCCAGCAGTGCACACAGCCTGTCACCACAAACCCTTACTGTTCTGTGAGTGGCATGGCATGCCTTGCTTTTGAAGTTCCCTAGGTTTTACTACATGGTTTTGGCAGGGGAAGTGCACGATTATATTGGCGTTGGTTATTGTTGGGAATAGCTTCCGGGTCATCTTTCCAGACAACAGAAACTGTTGGGGGTAGTCGGAGTTGGTAGTAACCACAACCCATTTTTCTGAAACTGTCGATGATGGGGCTCCTTATACTGGGGCATTCCAGTTTAACACTGATGGGATAGAAAAATTACTAAGTGCAGGCTTATTGGGAGAAGGTGAGAGGATGGGTAATTGTATCCTTCCGTTTATATTCCTGGTGTGTCGAAGTCAAAATGGATAGTCACAGAAATATTTCCTAGATGTAAATAACATAGGGCATGCAAAATAAAAATGTCCTCATAATGTCAGACATCTCACTCATAGTAAACCACAGAATATGATGGAACTACCGGAGAGTCCTCAGCCTTGTTGGGGCAATTGTCCCATCCAGTGTATTACTGAGCCCGTCACGGGGACCTCTGTCCTCGTCCCCTTGCTTGCTCAGGGCAGTCCTGGTGGGGACTGATGGCCAGGAGACTGTCTCATGAGCAGGCATCAGGAGCCAGGGAAGCAGGAGGAAGCCAAGCCAGAGTAGCCCTGGATTTGGATCATCCATTCTAGAATAATCTAAGCTGCATTGTCTGTCAGTGTGAATATCTGCTTTGACCCAAATATAATTCTGAAAAGAGCAGCCAGGATCTAAATCAAATATGTTTAAACAAACAAACAAGTATCTGTCCCATCAGCTGTCTGATGCTTAAGAGAATACAGGTAGGAAAAAAAATAAATATTCACAATAGTGCCTTTTTTTTTTTTTTTTTTTTTTTTTTTTTGGACAGGCAGAGTGGATAGTGAGAGAGAGAGACAGAGAGAAAGGTCTTCCTTGTTTTGCCGTTGGTTCACCCTCCAATGGCCGCCACGGCTGGCACACCGCGCTGATCCAAAGTCAGTAGCCAGGTGCTTCTCCTGGTCTCCCATGCGGGTGCAGGGCCCAAGCACTTGGGCCATCCTCCACTGCCTTCCTGGGCCACAGCAGAGAGCTGGCCTGGAAGAGGGGCAACCGGGACAGAATCCAGCGCCCCGACTGGGACTAGAACCTGGTGTGCCGGCGCCGCAAGGCGGAGGATTAGCCTAGTGAGCCGCGGCGCCGACCCACAATAGTGTTTTCTCATCTCCCCTCTGCAAACCTTTGTTCAGATGTCTCTTCCTCTGTCCTTCTTTACAAAGTGACAAATTTTTCCTCATCAGATAACAAGAGCTTATTTTAAAATGTAGAGAAAA